TACGTTGAATCCCTAGGTCTATAACAGCCTGTTGCTCTTTATACAAACCAAGTATCACTCTTCTATCTTTGTAACTCATCCCTACATTTTTAAGTATATTTAACATCTTGTCCCTTTTAACATTATCAAAAGCTTTTTCTAAATTTACAAATCCTATGTACGCCTTCTTTCTTTGTTCTATCGTTTACAAACCAACAACGTGACGTTATTCAGCATCGATATAACGTTATTGAATGCGCGTTGATAAATGCACGTACATGTATGAAGTCATCCACATCAGTGTGTATGGCTTTTATAAATCCGATGAATTCTAATGAAAACGGAAAAAGTACGTTATGTACTTTTCAACCGTATAAGTAAGTACGTAACATTATTCAGCGTCCACATTAAAATTAATGAATGCGCGTACATGTATTAACGTCAAGTTGTTAAAAAATGCCGATTACTGATTACAGTTCGTGGATCTGTTTGACATTATTGAATGCCCTTTGAAAAATGCGCATTCGTGTGAGTGTATGAATTTATTTGCGTCCAAAATAGTACATTAGATAAATATACAATGCAGCTTAATATAACGAAAATCTAAAACTGATAAGCGACAGAAAAAACTGTTATCAAAAGCGACATTATACTAATTGTTTTAATGTTAGTTATGAGATCTTAAAAATTGACCTTGTATTGTATGAAAATTACATGAGATTCGCATTAACAATTAATTAAAAGATCTGTTTAACATAAATTCGTAATTTTATTATGAAACAGAAGTTGTTACGTAAGTAATCAAAATCGCGATTTTTTTTCGATTCCTTTTTCGGATCTGTTATATGTGAGTTAAAGGCGTCAGTTTGGTTAATATGATAACCTCGTACGTTTTGGGCTCATTAACCGTGTTGAGTAAATATTTACCATATGACTTACGTATGCTTGCAGTAAATCATAAGTAATTGCGCTAGTACGAGTGCGTTGCACTGCGAAAACTTGAGTATAAAACATCAGTAACAGGCGTACAGAACAGCCATATATCTCGCCTTCTGTTAACGCATTACCAATGAACATTATGGAAAATTGATTTCATATTAACCAGCGTATATTAAGTATTAATACCTACCGGTTCACTAATTCTATATACATGGAACAATCAGAGATGCTCATTGCTCATACATAGAATTTTGGTTTCGAGGAGTGAGAAAGATTAAGAAGATATGTTAGGCGAGAAAAAAAGTTGACAAATGTTAAAGATGAACCAGAAACAATATAAATATGTATAGGTACGTTTAAAGCCAAAACCGACCATTAAACAGAATTGATTGATATTGATTACAATAATAAATTAAAAACTAGCAAAGGAGTAAAACTAATTGATAGTAGATAATATTTCATACAAGTTAAAAACAAATTTTGAATTAACTTTTAAAACAGGAAATAATTTATTAAAATATGTAAGTAAAACATAAAATGAACGAAAACGATCTTTATAAATTGTAATACTTGCAAGGCAATATACTTCATTGGTCGGGTAGGGAAGATTCATAAAGAATGAATGATGAACAATAAGTTAAGAACTTCTTATATTGACAAATCTTCCATTATAAACAATATAAAAATTAAAAATCCCCAATGTAGTATGAATAATAATTTTAATGTTTTCTATTGTTTAGAAGAAAGTAAAAAAAAATGCAACGTGTAATTACACAACACGCTACTGAAGTGAAACTTCTTCAAACACACAAACATATCGGGATAGGGGTTAAGGAATTGGCGTCAGGGGCATCGTTTCGACTGTAGAGTGTAGACACACATACACAAACACATACATTTTGTTAGGGCTACACTATACATGCCGGAGTTGCCTGTAACGAACGTTGCATTGAAGCGCGCTCACGGCTCAAGTTATCCTACTACGAACTCGACTATGTGGCCGAGTAGAGGGGGAACATCCGTTGCATGATTTCGTTACATAGCAACTTGCATGAAACGAACTTGTGTAAAGAAGTTTCACTTCAAAAACTCGGTATAATTGAATCGTTATAAATCAAAAATCAAGTAAACAAAATACTAAACTTACTAATGAAATATAATGTATAATATAATCTAGTATGTCTAACTAAACTAACTCCTTGAAAGAAGGTAGTAGCTCTTTAGGACTCGGGGCGGCAGAAACCAGGAGGCTCGGTATGCACTCTATTGCACAATACTGAGAAGTGGAAGGCAACGGATATCACCACATTGTGGTATTCCGAGTGCAACACACCAAAGCTCAAATGGTGGCGTCGGCTGGGGTGAAGCATACCGGAGTAAAATAATTCCCCATTCGAATCTCCTGGCGGGTACAACCTCCGTGAATATCATCGAGAAACAGAATTGAGGGGTAACAGTAGATAGAATAATTCAACAGTCGGAACGTGGTATATTAAAACCATGAACCAAGCTAGGAAGTTAGAAGATTTAGGCTAGAATTCGATATAGTAAGGTATGCATTAGTGAATAAATCCGATGGGCAGACACCGAAGACTTTTGGAGTGAAAATTCTCGAATAATACATACAGGATCAGTTAAAGGAAATTCGGGGGTAAGAATTGTAATGTGTAGGAAAGCCAGGCAAATTATAGAAAATTATTTACAGTAAAGTGATAGAATAGTTCATCATCATCGTCATCATAAGTCAGTCCTAAGACTGGTTGGACACGTACCTCCACTCTTTCCTATCGTGAGCTAATCTTCGCATTTCTCTAAAACTAGAATAGTTATGTTTAAATTAAACTTTAAACTTAAAGACGGTAATAAAATCTATATGCTTACGTCAATTTACAATGAGAAGACGTAGAAGCGGTTTATGCAGATATTGAAGACATGTTGAGTATAGTAAGAGAACAGAAAATCTAATAGTTGTAATAAATTTTAACACAGTAGCAGGTGAAGGTAAAGAGCGCGTGTTAACAGGTTCCTTTGGATTAGACAATAGAAATGATAGAAGAGATAGACTGATATAATTCTGTGATCAACATAACTTATCTATCGCGAATACTTGATCTTTACGTTAAGAGGCGCTATACGTGAGAATATGTCAAGTAATCTAGGAAGATATCACTTAGATTACGTTCTCGTTAAGGATTTATAAATCAAGCGAAGGAGTTATTCCAAGGCAGATACAGATAGCGATCATTATCCAGTAGTTATGAAAGCCGATCTTCAATTTAAAATTATGAAGAATTGGGAGGGTAAGAAATGTTTTGACATGGAAAAGTTAAAATTTAACGAACTACGTGATAGGTTAGGCAAGGCAGGCCTACTAAAGGAGACGGAAGAAATAATCATAAGAACGTAGGGACAGCATTGAATTGCATTAATATCAAAAAAGAGACAGAAGTCATTTTAATAGGAAACGAGGAAAAGGCAGAGATGTGGAAAGAATATTTAGAGAGCCTATACGCAGATCAAAAGTTAGTAGATGTATTAAAAAAAGAAGACAGTGTGGAGATAGATCAAACAGGACAGGTGCCCTATGATGCACGAAGAGTTTTTGAGTTAACCTTAAAATATTTAAAGAATAATAAAGCATCAAGTATAAATGGGGTACAGGTGGAAATCTTAAATCATGCAGACCAAGAAGTTATAGAAATCGTATGTTTAAGCTAATTAACAACATATACGAGACGGAGAAAGTCCGGGATAACTATAAACGGAAATGCTAGTAGCCATATCAAAAAAAAAAAAAAATAGGCACGGATAAATGTGACGAATTTAGAACAGTTACCTTAACTCCCCTTGCATATCAAAATCTTAACTAGAATCAAACGTAAATCTTTGAAACACGGTTCTGTACGAATGTGAAAGGTGAGCGGTGGGCTCGACGGAAAATGTTGGTATAGTTTAAAACGTGCTTTTGTAGGCGGATGATGAAATTACTGTGGATAGAACAGGTTAGAAATAAGGAGGTGTTAAAATAAATAGGAAAGCAAAGGACGTCATGGAAGTCAATAAGGAAAAGGAGAGGTAGGGTGATGGGGAACTAAGACATGAAAGGTTAGGTAGTGACATTTTGGAAACAAATCATGAGTACAAAGGCGTTGAGGTTGACCTAGATTACATTATGATTCACAAATAGTTAGAAACGTGGGATGTCCTAGTTTTAGGGAAATACGATAATTAGCGCAGGATTTAGGATTGACGACCTTATTATTATGGCGATGATGATTTAATAATTTTTAAATAAACTGGCTGAAGACCCCCATGATACCATAAAGCGGAGACTAATAGTAAGTAACTATACTGTTACACATACGTAGGCAACCCAACATACATAATGGCGAAGATGTTCAGGTTTCTAGACGGCATATAATGGATCATTCTAAAACACGACCAGTGTCTATAAATAGTTGTCGCGAGATCGAGTAAGTAGTAACGAGAACGAGTTCGAGACGATACAAAGCGAAGAAGAATGAACGAAGAAGTGACAAACTGTTCATATAGTGGTGATTCTAATTAATAATAGAAGTATTCAGAAGGCAGCAAATCATTAAATAAAAGTAGTAATAGTGCGAGAAGGTGTTTAAATACATGATAATTTATCATGTACGTACGAATTTTGTAAATTTTCTTTTCTGAAGATATCGTAATAGAGTGAAGCGAATGTCAAAGTTGTTTAAAATAAATAACGGAATAATAATACTGGAAGGTTTATTTATTTTACTGATTAAACAAAATTGAAATACAATTTTGCCACCATTGTTCTATTAAGAAATTACATAAATTAACTGAATTGTAAGCTTTAACATTAATTCATTAGGTAGGCGGTTATGAATTAACATTACCCTTGACCAATGAAGATGCTATTTTTTACAAAATTTTGCTTAATCTCCCAACTTCACATTTTATTTTAATTACCTACATAATTTGAAATTTTTCATTATTTCTGTAAACCAGTAGATATTCATTTGTTTATAAATAAAAAACATTTTTAGCTGTAAATTCTTAACTAATATATAATCTCTATATTTCAGATAAAAACAAAATCATAAACCATGAAGTAAATGGTTTTCCGACTCTTGTTCCTGCGACTATACAATCGTCAACACCCAAAGGCACATCGAGAATGTCTAATTCGTTTCCTAACATGAACATCACTAATCCAATTAAAGGTTTGGTCAGTAAACGAAGAAATCGATATAAGAAGGATGGATTTAATTTAGACTTGACTTGTATCCTTTTCATATTAAAATCGACTTCCGACAATTAGGTATTACTTTATACACACTTTTATTTAATTCCTATTACAAATTGAAACATATTGCTCTAAAAAGAAAACAGAAAGAATGAATGGAAGAAAAATTTTGTTTAAAGGTAATTCTCTAACATACAGTTCTCTGTACCTAACCTTATTCTAGTCTGCTTACTGAAGAACTCTTGTGATAGCATTTGTTCCAGCGTTGGTTTCGAGCATTGATTCTAAGCAAACCTTCTTTATTGGCTAGATTGCAGACTGCAATGCTGGGCCTACGACTCGTGGCATTTTTTAGGAGACAACTTGGTTATTGGTTCGGTACTTCCTTTAGCTGTTTTTATAAAATCGGTTTCCAAATTACTAGGTGGGCTAGTTATATAATTGTAGGGACAATATACTAATTTAAAGGTGACACTAGATTGCATCTTTATTGGTTATTGCTTACGTGACGATCCTAACTGAAGTATTTGTTGGGTTTTATGTAAAACGTGTTAATCGATTGTTTCTAAAAGAATAAGGTACTTATATCATTAAAGCATAAATACCTGGAGACCAGAGTAAACTTAAAAAAAAAAAAAATTTAGGTATTTCATTTCCATCAGCCAGAAGTGCTGGTGGGCGGGCAATCCCTCGGGACGACGCCGGAAGGTTGGGCGAAAGGCCCTTTTCAGCCTCCTTTCAGGAATCGTGGGAATGGGTGGGTCGTGGTTCGGGTGAGACAGATGCGACAGACGAAATGAAGACACAAGAGAATGAAAGATTATCTGTGGAATATTACTGCTCCAACATTATCCTAAGTGATCCAAGGAAACCACAGAAAAACATGGACTAAGGTAGACGGACCCGGAATCGAACTGGCGTCCTCCCGACTGCTAAGCAATGGTCTTAACCTCTAGGTTAATCCGCTCGGTTTGGAGACCATAGTGCTGTCTTCCGATATTTATACAGGAAGTAGGAAGTGTGTCTCCTCTTTCTACCGCGGCCTTGCCTTCTAGGGAAGGGAGATCTAATCTAGTCGTGATATAGAGAGAAGATAAGAGATGTAATGACACACTTCTTATAGAAGTTGCTGTCTCCAGGTTTTTATGCTCTAAGCTTTTAAGGAATATGCATGACAAATTCTTAGTCCAACCTAACCTCACTCTTGCAGATCTGCCACTATTTTTGACTATTTTGTTTGCTAAACTTTCCTTAACCAGAATTCTAGACATAACGGACAATGTGATAGCAATGGGTTATCCGGCGTCAAATATCGAAGGCGTTTATCGCAATCATATCGATGATGTCGTCAAGTTCCTCGAGTCGAAGCACAGGGACCACTACTTCATTTACAATTTGTGTTCAGAGCGGTCCTATGACTGTTCAAAATTTCACAACCGTGTGCGGACTTTCCCGTTCGACGACCATAACCCGCCCAAAATCGAGCTGATCCGCCCGTTTTGCGACGACGTGCACACGTGGCTTACGAAGGATCCCCGGAATGTCGCCGCGGTTCACTGCAAAGCGGGCAAGGGCCGTACCGGGACTATGATATGCTGTTACCTATTGCATTCCGGCCAATTTGTCACCGCCGAAGAGGCTCTCAACTTCTACGGACAAACACGAACGCAAGATCGCAAGGGCGTTACCATACCGTCACAACTACGTTACGTTAACTATTACGCGTCCTTTCTAAGGGACGGACTGGACTATGTGCCCGTGTCGTTGTACATCCGCGAGATTATATTCGAACCGACTCCGTGTTTTCCGGGCGGCCAAGGCTATCTTTGTTTCTCTATTTCGCAACAGACAATCGCAAACGCTGGTGAGCATTCGCAGAAGTGTGTGAAGCTGTTTAAAAGTGGAGTGTACGAAGTGCGTAAGGGTTCGTCGAGTTTTGTGATACGGCTGGACCAGTGTATGCCTATCACTGGGGACGTGAAGTTAGAATTTTATAATAAGCCCAAGTTGGGCAGAAAGGAGAAGATATTTCAGTTTTGGTTTAATACGTTCTTTGTGCGTAACGAGTTGTCCATACAAGATACGACGACAGAACCCAATGGACATTTGCCCGAAAACGGAAACGGTGTGACTCGGAATGTCCACTCTAAGGCTCTCGTTCTTTCATTGATGAAAAACGAACTGGATATAGTGAACAAAAAGGACAAGCAAAATAAAGTTTTCAGTTCGGAATTCAAGGTAAGCTTGTACATTTTTTTTTGTAAGTTCAACTTAAATTAGAGATGGGACGGGTACCTGGTTTGCATTTTGGTACCTGACAGATCTTATTTTAAAATTCCAAAGGGTCCTTAAATCTGTGCCAAAATTTGAACTGATGGTATAATATAGAATAATTCAAAATGAACTTTACAGATTTGAAATTGAGTCGTTTATTTGTAGGCAAATGCAACAAAGTGTTTTTGACACACGTCAAACAGTCGTTTTTGGGACTTGCAACTTGCGAATAGCACGCCGGGTTGATTTCGTAGGGTTGTTAGCAAAACTTTGATTCACTTCTTCAACGACTTCGTCAGATGTGCTTAGACGACTTGATGATTTTTTAAGTTTTACCTGTTACTACAAAGCATTTATGCTACTTATAAATTTTAGGCCTCTTGGGATCTTTAGCGAAATTAGTATGAAAATCATATTGAACTGTTGTCGCCGACCCTGATTCATTAAACCAAAAAACAGCTTTTTTTATATCATGCTCGACTCCAGTGGAGGCAGCCATTTTTAACGCAACTGCCGCTAGCACTTGATACGGTGCGATGCGGTACTAGCGAACTACGCGAGTTAAAACTTGATGTCTTTTTCTACAAATTGACACTACAATCAGCTCTGTAGGTTTTCTGAATAGATTTATACACGGAGAAATCTAAATTTCTATGACAACGCAAAAATTGCAATTTTCGATTGCAAGTGACTGAATTAGAAATAGTAGAATTAACTTGTAATAATCTCGATTTTGACATGTTTTTTTAAAAACTACTTCAAGTTTCTTAATTTTTACAACTTAATTTGTAATATCAATTAAAATAACTAGTAAATTTATTTCTGCTAAGATTTTATTTTTACAAATTGTGATTTTTATTATTTTCGCTTAAGAAGCAACGAGCTAGTGGAATAAATTGTAAATATCGCTTTAATATTTAAGTAAATTTTCCTTTTTCATTTT